CCCCCCCCCCCCCCCCCCCCCCCCCCCCCACCCCCCCCCCCCCCCCCCCCCCCCCCCCCCCCCCCCCCCGCCCCCCCCCCCCCCCCCCCCCCCCCCCCCCCCCCCCCCCCCCCCCCCTCCCCCCCCTTCCCCCCCCCCCCCCCCCCCCCCCCCCCCCCCCCCGCCCCCCCCCCCCCCCCCCCCCCCCCCCCCCCCCCCCCCCCCCCCCCCCCCCCCCCCCCCCCCCCCCCCCCCCCCCCCCCCCCTCCCCCCCCCCCCCCCCCCCCCCCCCCCCCCCCCCCCCCCCCCCCCCCCCCCCCCCCCCCCCCCCCCCCCCCCCCCCCCCCCCCCCCCCCCCCCCCCCCCCCCCCCCCCCCCCCCCCTTGGACGTCGCCCTGGCCTGTCGCGACGCCCCCCCCTGGACGCCGCCCCTGCCGGACTGCCGCCGTCGCTCCGCAGCAGCTGCCGCGGAGCGCCCTGCCACGGTCGCAGCTCCGCCCTGCAGAAGCTGCCGCGGAGCCTCTTGCTGCTGCCGCCGGCCCCACCCTGCAGCAGTCCTTGCGGCCCCCGCCCTGCTGCAGTCCTCGTGGCCCCGCTCCTGCTATCACAGCCCCGCCCTGCAGCGGTCACAGCCCCGCCCTGCAGCAGCTTGTCGCGGACCTGCTCTACCGCCGACGCGGCTCGGCTCTGCCGCAGATGTCGCAGCCCCGTTGTCGCCGCCGTCGTGCGCCTACCCGGCTGCCGCCCGCCGAGCGCCGGCCCTGCTCGCCCGGCGAGCGCCCGCCCTTCCCGCCACTAGTGAGCACCTACCTTGTTCACGCGCTGCCGCACCATCTGCCTGCCTGTTTGCCTGCCTGCTTGCCTGCCGCACCTGCCGCACTTTCCTGCCGTACCTGCCCTGCCCGCGCTGCTACTGCTGCTACTACTGCTATGTCTGTTACTGTTGCTAGGCTGCTGCTGCTGCTGCTGCTGCTGCTACTGCTGCTACGTCTGCTAATGCTACTACTGGCGGTAGCCAGATGCATCTCCAGCGACGTCCACGCGAGTCTCTCACGCCCCAGCAGCTTCATGAGTGGTATGCTAGTTGGGGTTGTGGCGGTAGCCGTCGTAGCTGTCGCCCTGGAGCTGGTCAGTTGGGAGCGTCTGGCAGTGGCCACCTGCAGCTACAGCGGCGTCCACGCGAGACACTTACATCCCAGCACCTTCACGAGTGGTACGCTCAGAGTAGAGGGTCTCGGAGTACCGTTCGCTGCCCGTACGTCATTCGCACAGGTGATCGGGCTGGTCACGCTTGCGGGATGCTTGGTCACACACAGTCCCGCTGCTTCGCCCGTCTGAGCGACGCCTGGCGTACCAAGTTTGGCGACGAGGCTGAGCTCCCCACCTGGCTGGAGCTGCTTAGGTAGAGGGTAGATATCTTTGCTCTTGACTATGATGCTATTCTCACTGCCATGTATGCATTGCCAACTAGTGCTGACGGTGCCTGTTACCTGTGCGTACCGCCTGACCCAGGTATAGAGCCTGCTGCTCTAGGTACTGGTGAGGCTGCTGCTCTAGGTGCTAGTGCGTCTCTTGCTCTAGGTGCTGGTGAGGCTGCTGCTCCAGGTACTGGTGAGTCTGCTCTCTCTGGTACTGCGTTTTGGTGAGGCCTTGTACACCTTCACACTTGACTCAGGTGCTTCCCGCTCCTTCTTTCGCGACAGCACCACCCCTCACGCCGCTCAGTCGGCCGATTGCAGTCTCCCTGGCAGACCCCTCTAGGGGTCCAGTCCTTGCGCACTCCTTCACGGTCTTGCCGTGTCCGGCGGTCCAGTCTGGCTCCCTGTCAGGTCTTCACCTCCCCTTGTTCTCTACGAACTTGGTGAGTGGTGCTGACCTCCAGGACCAGTGGGTTGACCAGTTCACTCCTGGAGGTCAGCGCGTGACCCACTGTACGTGCTCCCAGACAGGCCGGCACCTGGCCACGTTTACCCGTGCGCCTGGCTCGAGTCTGTACACACTGACTACTTTGTCCCCTCAAGTCGCTGCGTCCGCGTCTACGTCAGGTCAGCTAGCGGCCCCCTGCTCGTGTCGCGCTTTATCGCACCAGACCCTCCTTTGGCACCACCGACATGGTCACCCCTCAGTGCAGCGCCTTCCTAGCATGCACCGCCGTGCCCTTGTCTCTGGTCTTCCCAGGGTTCTCCCTCCCCTCCCTCCCTCGCCTGCTCCTCCTTATCTTCCCTGTGTCGAGGGCCGGCAGTGCGCCGCTCCCCACTCCTCCTCGTTTCCCCCGACGACTGCTCCCCTCTAGACCCTGCACATTGACGTGTGGGGCCTAGCCCGCGTCAGTGGGCAGGACCGCGAGCGGTACTTCCTGCTGGTTGTTGACGATTACTCGCGTTACACCACGGTCTTCCCCTTGCGCACCAAGGGTGAGGTCCCTGATGTTTTGATCCCTTGGATCCGCGCTGCCCGTCTCCAGCTCCGCGAGTGGTTCGGGACGGAGTTTCCCGTCCTGCGTCTGCACTCTGACAGAGGTGGAGAGTTTTCCCTCGACCTCCTACAGAGCTTTTGTCGTGGGGAGGGCATTTGCCAGACGTTCACGCTTCCGGCCTCTCCGTAGCAGAATGGGGTTGCTGAGCGCCGCATTGGCTTAGTCATGGAGGTCGCTCGTACCTCCATGGTCCATGCGGCTGCCCCCGATTTTCTATGGCCGTTTGCGGTCCGCTACGCCGCGCATCAGCTCAACCTCTGGCCCCGTGTCACCTTGCCGGAGACCTCGCCCACACTGCGGTGGACGGGGGAGGTTGGCGATGCGTCGGTGTTCCGGTTCTGGGGTTCTCGTGCCTTTGTCTGCAATACAACCGCGGACAAGCTCTCCGCCCGCGCTGTTTCCCTGTGTCTTCCTTGGTTTTGTCCCTGACGCGCTTGGTTGGCAGTTTTTACCACCCCACCTCGCGCTGTGTCTTCTCCTCTCAGGACGTCACGTTCGACGAGTCGGTTCCCTTTTACCGTCTATTCCCTACTGCACTGCCCATCTCCCACCCCCGCCGCTCTTCCTCGCACCAGGTGCTCCCAAGGTAGCCCCCCTTCTCGATCCCGGTCCTGCTCCTTCAGGTGTGTCTCAGGTAGACCCTCCTCCCTTGACTGCGTCCATTGAGGTCACTTGTGACTCAGGTCCTGTTGGGAGTGGTCCTGCTCGGGGTGCTGCTTGTGAAGGTGCTGAGCCTGGGGGTGCGGAGCCTGGGGGTGCTGGTCCTGGGGATGCAGAGCCTGGAGGTGTTGAGCCTGGGCTGTGAGGAGTCTAGGGGTGCTGCACCTGGGGGTGCTACGGCGTCTGGTGAGCAGTCTCCCTGGAGCGGCCGTCTCCGTAGTCGCTCTGCTAGTGCCTCGCCACTGCACTCTCGTCGTCGTCTCCCTCTCTCCCCACAACAGCTGCGAGGGGTACGTTAGCCGTGAGGGTCGCACTGCTGGAGCTAGGGGCCTTGTTGCGGGAGGCGCTGGAGCTGGTGACTCTGCTACTGGAGTTGTTTCTACTGGAGTTCCTGGGGCAGCTGGTCCCAGAGGTGCTCGTACTGGAGGTACTGGAGCTGCTGGGGCTGGAGGTCCTGCTGGACTTGGAGGTGCTGCTGTTGACTCTGAGGTTGGAGGCCCTTGAGCTAGGGGTGCCGGTTCTGGGGGTGCTACTGCTGGTGGCGCTAGAGCTGGAGGTTCTGGAGGTGCTGCGGGTGCTGGCGCTGGAGGTTCTTGAGCTGTTGGAGGTGCTGGCGCAAGTGGCGCTGGAGCTGGAGTTTCTGGAGCTGCTGCAGGTGCTGGCGCTGGAGGTTCTGGAGCTGTTGGAGTTGCTGGCGCAGGTGGCGCCGGAGCTGGAGGTTCTGGAGCTGCTGCGGGTGCTGGCGTTGGAGGTTCTGGAGCTGCAGGAGGAGCTGGAGCTACAGGTGCTGGTGGCGCTGCGCCGCCGCGACTGTTCTTCGCTCCGCCGTCACCTTCATCTCTGCCACCGCCTGGCTCCGTGCTTCGTCAGGTTCTTTGCCTCCCGTCTTCTACTGGTCTTCCGTTACCGCCTGGCTCATCGCTGCCTGCTCCTTCTCCTTACACTAAGCTGACAGGCGGTCTTGCTGAGCGTCGTGAGCCTGCGTCTCGTCCTCTCTTACTGTCCACACTGGTCGTACTGGTCGTCAAGAAGCACCTGATCTCTGACTGCTGGTTGGGGTCCTTGTAGGGCTTCAGTAGCTGGACATGGAAAGCATTGTGAAGCTTCCATGTATCTGGTAAGCGCAAGCGGAATGTAACTGGTGTCACATGTGCCTCAACAAGAAAAGGACCACAGAAGCGAGGCCGGAGCTTGGATGGTAGGTGAGACAGGTTCAAGTTGTGTGTGTCAAGAAGCACCTGATCTCTGACTGCTACTGAGTGAATCTCGTCGCTCCACGATCGGCATACTGCTTCTGGGAGTTCTGCATCGTGGTGAGACGTCGCTGAGTCTTCTCCCATAGCTGCTGCATGGTGGTGACGAAGTCATGTGCGGCTTGGACGTGTGCCGGTGTGGTTGGCTGCTGTGGTGTGAGTGGTTCCCGTCCGTAACACAGGAAGAAAGGAGTTTTCCCTGTGGCCGCATGTGAGGCGTTGTTGTAAGCGAACTCTAGGGTCGGTAACTGTGTGTCCCAGTGGCTGACGTCGTCCTTGCAAGCTGTGCACAGTAACTATTCAACTACTTGATTGAGTCGCTCTGTCCGTCTGTCAGTCTGGGGGTGGTATGCTGAAGACATTGCAAGCTTTGTCCCCAACAGTCCCATGAGCTCCTTCCAGAACTTACTGGTGAATTTTGGGTCTCTGTCTGAGATGAGTGTAGCGGGATGCCGTGGATGTTGATGATGCGGTCGAAGAAGAGGCGTGCAGTTGCTTCAGCTGTTGCCGTGGCGTTGGTTGGTATGAAGTGACCCATTTTGGAGAACTTATCGATTACTACGAGGATGGAATCGTGCCCCCATGAGGTCGAAGGAAGTCCTGTGATAAAGTCGAGGCTAACGACCTGCCATGGCTGCTCCGGTACGGGTAGAGGCTGAAGTAACCTTGCTTTTTTCTGCTTGCTGCTCTTCATCCGCTGGCACGTGTCGCATGAGGTGACGAACTGCTGCACGTCTGCTGCCATCCCGGGCTAGTAGTAATACTTTGCTATCCCTGCTAACGTCTTGTTGCTCCCGAAATGTCCCGCGTATGGTACGTCGTGAAACTCCTCCAATAGGATCTGCCGTAGCGGGGCGTAATTCGGTACCCAAATCTTTCCTGAACCCTTCCTTACAGCTAAGTCTTTTTCCCACTGTAACAGGTGCTTTGGTCTGTGCTGTAGCGATCTCTGCGTCCAAGGAGTACCCATGTTTGAATAGACCCTTGAGCAGAGGGTTCATCCCGTCGAGCTGGATGCCTGCTACATGTCCGGGGCCGCTCAATGCGTCTGCTTTGTTGTGTGTGCGGTAGTCGATGCATATCCGTAAACTACCGTCTGGCTTTGGAGTGAAGAGGACTGGTGCATCGTAGGGAGAGGTGGATGGGCGGATCAGTTGTCTGTCCATTAGATACTCTATCTCTTTTTTCATGTCTGTCAGTTCAGTCAGACTCAGTCGGTATGGTGCACGTGAAACGGGTTTCGCACCCGGTTCCTCCACAATCTCGTGCTCGTGTGTGCGTGCTGGAGGTACGCCTGCGGGTAGGTCGTCGGGCATTATATCCTTGTACTGCTCCAAGACCTCCTCTGCTGGTGCCATAAACCAGTGCTAAGTAACTCGTGTTACTCTCGTTCACTGTCCGTTCGAAACCGTGCCAGTGTCGTTTCAGGAACGCTCCCTGTATCCGTCCAGCTTCGCAGCTCCACTCGTTTCCCGTTGTTGTAGATGCACGTTTTCCAGTTGACCCAGTCGATCTCGGGGTTGAACCGCTCAGAAAATCTCGCCCCAAGATGAAATCTAATCCCTTGATGTTCGTGATCGGCAACGTCGGCTTCCACCTCAACGCCCCTATGTGCAGCTGCAGTGATGCTTCGCCGTGGATGGGAAGTTTCGTACCGTCCACCATTGTTGCCAAGAACTTGGTCTCCTCCGAAAATTCTCCAATTTTCTCCAACATCCCGCGGTCGCACACCGAGTGGGACGCACCACTGTCCACCAGTGCCTAAAGGCGTCGCCCGTTGCAGATCACCTCGAGTAGTAGTGGTTGTTGCTACTGCGAGTAACCGTAGATGGTCTCGCTTATAGGATCGTAGGGTACGTTGAATATGTTATCCCTAGGTCCTGCGCTCGAAGATGCAGCTTCAATATCAGTTTTCAACTGAGAAAGGTTAGAAGGATTTATCCGAGGCCGATTCGGCTTCTCTTGGGCCTGGAACCTTCCACTAAGCCTTTGCAGCTGTGTAGGCTTCATCTGTGGGGAACAGGGAGCCTTTAATTAGTGCTGATGGGAGAGAATATTAACTCCTCGGAACGCTCGACCCGTATTAGCGCTCTGGAGTAGGGTCCCCATAATACCCGGAACCGGTTTAATTTCTGATTCTCCCGTAATAAAGGCTTGAAACCCATGAGAAGTAATATTCTTACTTGTCGGGGTATACGGCTGGAGTTTTCCCGGTCGGTGGAGGGTCTTGTTTCGCAGATCCTCCATTAGTCTCGGCGATTTCCCCTGGTGCCACCATATTCTCCTTTTTCACCCTCTCCGAAGTTGCCACGTTGTCCGTTTTCTGCTTCGGGGGGTGCCGCTTGTTCTTGTCCTTCAGCTCCGCACACCTTCTCTTCATTTTTCCAACACGCCAAGATACGATGTCCTGTAGCGCCGAAAAAATTTGCACGTCTCATTATTTGCTAGCCGCTGCTCCACATCGCCCTCGTCGTTCTCCATCGGGTCGGCAGTCGTGGGTGGTGCCAATCGCCCCATGCCACTAGTTGGCTTGTTGCGTCGTGTTCCGTAGTAGCTACTGTTCAACGTGTCGAACTGTTCGATCAGTGCTGCCGGAAATTGCGCCCACGTCCCCTCGCCTTGGACTATTCTGTTGTTGATCCACTCTAGAGCTGGGCCTCGTAACAGTGTTGCTGCGAGCCGTATGCGCATTGCGTCTTTTGTCGGGGTCGTGCATCCAACGGCTTCGAAGTAAATTTCGAGTTCAACTACAAATCGACGAACGTCGTTGTTTTTTACTGTAGGATCGAACGCCTCCGGTAGCCTCGGCTTCACTGCTTCGAGGTTAACTGTAGTTGCTGCCGTTGTCGCATGTAGAATTGTTGGTGTTGCTGCTGCTGCTGCTGCTACTGTTGTCGCTGCTGCTGTGGCGGTTCCTGACTGGTTCGCAAGGAGTTTTTTGAATTGTGGGAGCGCCGCATGTATTTGCTTATGCTCAGCACGTAACTCCGCGATTTTCTGTACTGAAATATCTCCTTTTCCCTCCATTTGGAGATTTACAGGAAGATGCGCGACCAAAATAATCGAAATCTCGGTGCTGATCGACTTACTGCGAGTCAAGTTGACTATAGGATTGACGAGCGCAAATTCTGTAGATCGCGCAAATCTCCCCTGGGCGAAATTTGCGTCCGATCTTGGCCATTGAGGAGAAAATCAATCCGACGCTCCAAATTCCAACGTTTTTGGGCGAAATTCTCTGGGCCGTTGAGATGAATCTCGATCGAACGGTCGAAACTCCAACCTTCCACCAGTAAATCTGAGGGGTGTTCGAAAACCGAATCGAGGGGGACTTAGAAAAATTGCGCGGAACTGGTTATACATACCCGTATCGGCGCTTTCGTCGTCGCCCCCCGCGGTTTTTAAAGGCCGCAACTAAGCGGTTGAAGACCTCTCGTGAAAACCCGCTCTGATTACCAAGTGTGAGGATCTAGGATCGAGCTGAGAAAAGAGAATATGAATTGAATGAATCACCTGGGTTACAACACGAGGCTATATATAGGCTCGACACAAGGCCCCGTAACCAGGTGTTACGCGAAGGTTCCGCGGGTCGCGAAGCGTCCCGAACAGATCCTTCCCGAATTCGGTAGAAGGCAATTCGGTGGCAACCGAAAAGCCAGAATCACGCAACCTAGCTCGGTGCTATAACTATAATATAATATAGGAAAGCACCTAGCCTAGGAAATCAAGCAATTCATACATGCATATAATTATCCTATGCTAGAAATAGCATGATAAAGTAAAGGCAAGCAAGCATAGCTGGCATAAGCCATCGTACTCTCACACTGGAGATCTTACGGAGCGTCGTGAGCCTACGTCTCGGCCTACGTCGCCAGTCCGTGCTGCTCGCACGAGTGGTCGTGGTTCGCGTCAGCGTCCTCCGCTTGTCCCCGGCACGCACCGGATGTCTCTGCGTCCTTCCACTGCTCCGATGCGTGCCCCTTTGCCTTCTCCTCCCGAGTCCTCTCTTCCTGCTCTTGCTGACCCGGAGTCGGACTCCCTTCGTGCTGCCAGTCCTACTGTCACGCGTCTCCTTGCTATTGTCGTCACTGACCCTTCCTTTGAGTCCACTGCTGCGTATGCCTTAGTTGCTGAGCTTGTCGACTTCGCTGCTCACTGTCCGTCTAGACTACGCCTCTAGTCTTATTGCTGAGTCTGCGTCTGTCTGTCCTCTGTCCGTCGGAGGTGAGTGTGCTCTTAGAACGGACGTCCTTGAGGACAGGCAGGAGGAGTTCCAGTGTTTTTGCTGCTGCTTTGCCTCATCTCGTGTCCATGCTGATTGCCCCTGAGGGAGACCCGGATGCGCCAGACATCCCGACTCCTCGATCGTACGCTAAGGCGATCGAGGGTCACTACTCCTCACAGTGGCAGTCAGCCATGGACGCAGAGATGGCTTCCTGGAAGTCCACAAGCACCTACCTCGATGAGGTTCCCAACCTGGGGCAAACATCATCAGTGGCATGTGGATTTTCAAGGTGAAGCGGCCGCCAGGTTCTCCGCCTGTCTTCAAGGCGCGTTACGTGGCTCGTGGCTTCAGTCAGCGGCAGGGAGTTGACTACTTTCAGACCTTCTCCCCCACCCCGAAGATGACCACTCTTCGGGTGCTGCTGCACATAGCCGCTCAGCGCGACTACGAGCTTCACTCTCTTGACTTCAGCACAGCTTTCTTGCAGGGCAGCCTGTACGAGGAGATCTGGCTGCGCCACCCACCTGGCTTCACTGGGTCGTTTCCTCCTGGTACCCAGTGGAGCCTCCGGCGGCCAGTCTACAGTCTCCGCCAGGCGCCCCGTGAGTGGCACGACACACTGAGGACTACACTTGCGGCTCTTGGGTTTGCTCCTTCTACACCTGACCCGTCGCTGTTTCTGCGCACCGACACCTCTTTGCCGCCGTTCTACATCCTCATGTACGTCGACGACTCGGTCTTTGCCACTGCTGACACCGCTGGACTCGCCCACGTGAAGTCCGAGCTGCAGAAGAGACACACGTGCACACACCTGGGTGAATTGCGCGCCTACCTTGGCTTGCAGATCACCAGGGACAGAGCACAGCGCACCATTACCCTGACTCAGTCACACATGGTGCAGCAGGTCCTTCAGCACTTCGACTTCACGTACTCCTCGGCACTGGCCACTCCTCTGGTTACAGGTCACTCGCTCTCAGCTCTGCCTTCGGATGAGTCCGTAGAGCCGAGTGGCCCGTACCCAGAGCTTGTTGGCTGCCTCATGTACCTGATGACCTGCACACGACCTGACCTTGCATACCCTCTTAGCATCTTGGCACGCTATGTGCTCTTGGGATGGCACCGACCAGAGCACATGGCTGCAGCGAAGAGGGTGTTGCGCTACTTGTGCAGTACGTCGGGCATGGGGCTAGTGCTTGGAGGGCGACGTTCAGTGGTCCTCACAGGTCACGCAGACGCTTCTTGGGCTGACGACCAGGCTACGCAGTGGTCGTCGCAAGGTTACACCTTCAGCCTTGGTTCCGGCTCTGTTTCGTGGCGGTCTACCCGCTCGTCTTCTGTTCTCGGCTCCAGCTGTGAGGCTGAGATCTACGCGGGGGCCATGGGTGCATAGGAGCTACGCTGGCTCACCTAGCTGGTGACTGACCTAGGAGAGCCACCTCGTTCTCCTCCAGTTCTGTACGTAGACAACAAGGCCATGCTGGCCTTGTGTCGGGAGCAAAGACTGGAGCACAGAACGAAGCACATTGCTCTTTGCTACTTTCTTGCTCGTGAGCTGCCAGCAGCGTGGTCAGCTGCGCCTTGCTTACGTGGCCTCTCAGGCCAACACTGCTGATATCTTTACCAAGGCACTTCGGCCTTGTGATCATCAGCGCTGTTATACGATGCTAGGTCTTGTGCCTACTTGGCCTTACTTGCTTACTTCTTGACCTTGCTTATACTGTGATCTTTCTATACCTGCACTTGCTTGTTTACCTTTATATATGATCTTGCATGTCAACTGGCCTTGTGGCCTTGAACTTGTGCTCGGAATGTGTGGTGACGTTGTGATCCACCCTGAGCTTGCTTTGCTTTGCTTGACTGGTCTTGTGACCCCTTGTTCTCCCCCACTTTGCCTATGGGGGTGTGTCAGACTTGTATGACTTAGCCTGTGTAGGCTATAGTGGGGTAGCACATATGTGGTACAACACATTTCTAGGTTTGTACTTGTACCCAACCTTTCCCTTAGTTCAATCATTCCTCATTTCTTCACAAGTACAGCCCAAATTTGGGTTTACTATATGTATCCTATCTACTGCTAGTGCAACCCCTCTTTCTGTCTCTAACTTTCAGCTAGCGTTTCTCGACATGCTATCAGAACGAGAACGCTCCTAGCATGTGGGCACACCTACTTCCGCTGCTGTCCTGCCTGTCGCGCACCCGGGGCGCGCGACGTTTTCTGCTTGCCGCGCGCCCGGCACGCACGGCGTTTTTTCTTCTCGCCGCGCGCCCCGGGCGCGCGGTGGTTTTGTGCCCGCCACACGCCCTGACGCGCGCAAGTGGTTTCCTGCCCGCCGCGCACCCCGGGCACGCGCGGCGGTTTCGTCGCCTGTCGCGGCACCGCAGGGGCCCGCACGCCATCTCCCCTCCCGTCGCCCGTCGCAGCGCCCCGGGGGCCCGCGCGCTGTCCCCTCTTGTCGCCCGTCGCGGCGTCAGGGGGGCCCGCACGCCGCCCCCTCCCGTCGCCCATCGCGGCGCCCCGAGGGCTCGCGCGCCACCCTGCTCGTCGCCCGTCGCGGCGCCCTGGGGGCCCGCACGCCGCCCCCTCCCGTCACCCGCCGTGGCACCCTAGGGGCACGCGTGCCGCCCTATTCGTCGCCCGTCGCAGCGCCCCAGGGACTCGCGCGCCGCCCCGCTTCCGCTAGCACGCCGCCCCAGCTGCTGCATGCGTATCTGCCCCGCGCGGCACGCGCGCCGCGTGCGTTGGGGGCACGGGGGTGGCGGGTATGGGGGTGGCGGGTATGGGGGTGGCGGGTGTGTGAGCCGTCCCCTGCTCCTCCTCCTCCTCCATCTCCCACTTCTCGACATTATTTGTCCTGGCTGTCGTGCTTCGTTTGTCGAGTCAAAGGTCCCTGACCTTTGACCTTCGCCTCAACTTCTTGCTGCTGTCCCTTTGTCAACCGCTTCGCTGTAGCTCGGTTGACTCGGTGTTACTTCGCTGTGAGCCTGCTTGTTCATGTTACTACACAATAGTATAAGCTATATATATGTTCTGACACACCCCCATAGGCAAAGTGGGGGAGAACAAGGGGTCACAAGACCAGTCAAGCAAGACAAAGCAAAGCTCAGGGTGGATCACAAAGTCACCACACAGTCTCGAGCACAAGAGCAAGGCCAAAGGCCAGTTCACATGCAAGAGTACAGACATATATATAAAGCTAGACAAGCAAGAGCAGGTATATATATGTCACAGTACAAGTAAAGTCAAGAGGAGAGCAAGTGAGGCAAGACAGGCACAAGACCCAGCTGGGTGCAGAAGCGCTGATGGTCACAAGGCGCAAGTGCCTTGGTGAACACATCAGCAGTGTTGGCCTCAGAGGCCACGTACGCAAAGCCGCAACTGTCCACGCTGCTGTAGCTCACGAGCAAGGAAGTAGCGAAGAGCAATGTGCTTCGTTCTGTGCTCCACACGCTGCTCTCGACACAAGGCCAGCATGGCCTTGTTGTCTACGTACAGCACTGGAGGAGAACGAGGCGGCTCTCCAAAGTCAGTCAGCAAGTAGGTGAGCCAGCGAAGCTCCTGTGCAGCCATGGCCCCTGCGTAGATCTCAGCCTCACAACTGGAGCTGAGAACCGAAGACAAACGAGTAGCCCGCCACGAGACAGAGCCGGAACCAAGGCTGAAGGTGTAACCCTGTGACGACCGCTGCGTAGCCTGGTCGTCAGCCCAAGAAGCGTCCGCGTGACCTGTAAGGACCACTGGACTCCGCCCTCCAAGCACTAGCCCCATGCCCGACGTACTGCACAGGTAGCGCAATACCCTCTTCGCTGCAGCCATGTGCTCTGGTCGGTGTCTCCCCAGGAGCAACATAGCGTGCAAGAATGCTCAGAGGGTATGCAAGGTCAGGTCGTGTGCAGGTCATCAGGTACATGAGGCAGCCAACAAGCTCTGGGTACGGGCCACTCGACTCTACGGACTCATCCGAAGGCAGAGCTGAGAGCGAGTGGCGGGTAGACAGAGGAGTGGCCCGAGGCGAGGAGTACGTGAAGCCGAAGCGCTGAAGGACCTGCTGCACCATGTGTGACTGAGTCAAGGTAATGTGCGGCGTGCTCTGTCCCGAGTGATCTGCAAGCAAAGGTAGCTGTGCAGTTCACCCAGGTCTGTGCACGTGTGTCTCTTCAGCAGCTCGGACTTCACGTAGGCGAGTCCAGCAGTGTCCGCTGTGGCAAAGACCAAGTCGTCGACGTACACGAGGATGTAGAACGGCGGCAGTGTAGTGTCGGTGCGCAGAAACAGCGACGGGTCAGCAGTAGAAGGAGCAAACCCAAGAGCCGCAAGCGTAGTCCTCAGTGTGTCGTGCCACTTACGCGGTGCCTGGCGGAGACCGTAGACTGGCCGTCGGAGGCTCCACTGGGTGCCAGGAGGGAAAGTCCCAGTGAAGCCAGGTGGACGGCGCAGCCATATCTCCTCGTGCAGGCTACCCTGCAGGAACGCAGTGCTGAAGTCGAGAGAGTGAAGCTCGTAGTCGCGCTGAGCGGCTATGTGTAGCAGCACCCGAAGAGTGGTCATCTTCGGGGTGGGAGAGAAGGTCTGAAAGTAGTCAACTCCCTGCCGCTGACTGAAGCCACGAGCGACGTACCGCGCCTTGAAGACAGGTGGAGAGCCTGGCGGCCGCTTCACCCTGAAGATCCACATGCCACTGACGATGTTCGCCCCAGGAGGGGGAACCGCGTCAACGTAGGTGCCTGTGGACTTCCAGGAAGCCATCTCTGCATCCATAGCTGCCTTCCACTGAGAGGAGTAGGGACCCTCTACGGCCTCCGCGTAGGAGCGCGGAGTCGGGATGTCTAGTGCATCCGGGTCTCCCTCAGGAGCAAGCAGTACAGACGCGAGATGAGGTGAAGCAGCAGCCAGACACTGTAACTCCTCCTGCCTGTCCTCAAGGACGTCTGTGCCAAGAGCACACTCACCCCCGACGGACGGAGGACAGACAGACGCAGACTCAGCAACAAGACTAGCGGCGTAGTCTAGACGACAGCGAGCAGCAAAGTCGACGAGCTCAGCGACAAGAGCAGACGCAGCAGTGGACTCAAAAGAGGGGTCAGTGACGACAATAGCAAGGAGACGCGTGACAATAGGACTGGCAGCACGAAGGGAGTCCGACTCAGGGTCGGCAAGCGCAGGAAGAGAGGACTCAGGAGGAGAAGGCAAAGGGGCACGCAGAGGAGAAGTGGACGGACGCAGAGACATCCGGTGCGTGCCAGGGACAGGAGGAGGACGCTGACGCGAACCGCGACCACTAGCGCGAGCAGCACGAACAGGCGACGCGGGACGAGACGCAGGCTCACGACGCTCAGCAAGACCTCCAGTAGGACCAGTGTAAGGAGAGGGAGCAGGCAGTGGGGAGGAAGGCTCCAACAGTGACTGCGACTGGACAGGCTGTGGACACTCTACCGGAGGAGAAAGACCAAGAACCTGCTCCAGGAGCGGAACGAAGTACGGCCGAGGCCGCGCGGCAGCTCCAGGCTCAGCAGGGACAGCACCAGCACCCTCAGCGGCAGGACCTCCAGCAGCACCAGCAGCAGAACCACCTCCAGGACAGAAAGCTGGAGTCTCAGCACCAACACCTCCAGCAGCTCCAGCTCCAGTAGGACTCGCAGGCCCCAGCAGCTCCGAGACCGGCGGGCACCAGCACCCTCGACGGTCGAAGAAGCTCCAGCTCCGGCAGTACGCCTCCAGCGGCGAGCAAACCACTCGCGCAGCTCCTGTGGAGAGAGGGGCTCCCGCCGAGACGCAGCACCAGGAGAAACCCCAGGCACAGCAGCCCCAAACGCAGCACCCCCAGGCTCAGTAGCTCCAGACGTAGCACCCCCAGGCTCAGCAGCTCCAGACCCAGCACCCCCTAGCTCAGCAGCTCCAGGCACAGCACCCCCCGGCTCAGCACCCCCAGGCCCAGCACCCTCCGCAGTAGCACCCCCAGGCTCGGCACCCCCGCGCACAGCACCCCAGAGTCAGCACCCCCAAGCTCAGCACCCGCCAGCAAGCACCAGAGTCACCAGTAACCTAGACCGGGTCAACTGCGTCTACCTGGGACACACCTGAGGGGGCAGGAACCTGAAGGGGGAGGGGGTCTACCGGGGGGGGAACCGGCACAAGGAAGTCCCAGTGGCGGGGGAAGGGAAGGAGTGCGGTAGGGGAAGAGGCGGTAGAAGGGGACTGACTCGTCGAACGTGACGTCTGGGAGGACAGAACATGACGAGAGGAGGGGTGGTAGAACTGCCACCCTGGAGCGTCAGGGGGGAAGCCAAGGAAGATACAGGGAGCAGCACGAGGGGACAGCTTGTCCGCAGACAAGTCGCGGGACAAACGCCCGAGATCCCCAGACACGGAACGCAGACGCATGGCCAACCTTCCCCGTCCACAGCAAGACTGGGGACATCGCAGGCCGAGAGACCCTGGGGTGAAGGTTGAGCTGATGCGCCGCGTACCGAACCGCAAACGGCCACAGAAAATGGGGGGCAGCCGCATGCATCATGGACGTACGAGCGACATCCATGACCATGCCAATGCGTGCGCTCAGCAATCCCATTTTGCTGTGGAGAGTCTGGAAGCGTGAAGGTCTGGCGGATCCCCCATGCACGAGAGTAGTCTCGCAGAAGGCGAGAGGAGAACTCCCCGCCTCTGTCCGAGTGCAGACGCAGAACAGGAAAGTCCGAGCCGAAGCTCCTCCTGAGCTGGAGACGAGCCTCGCGGATCCAGTCGATCAGCACCTCAGTAACAGCACCCTTGCTGCGCAAGGGGAGGACTTTGGTGTAACGCGAGTAGTCGTCAACCACCAACAGGAAGTAGCGCTCGTGACCCTGCCCCACGGACGGGGGCTGGGCCCCACACGTCCATGTGAAGTGTCTGCAGAGGAGCCTCTGTCGGGGGGAACTGGGAGGAGTGAGGAGCAGCCCGGAGGCGCCCCTCGACACAGGGGACACAGGAAGGTCCTGGCCCCGAAGGAAGGGGAGGGAGAGACTGGGGAAGACCAGAGACAAGGACACGGGAAGCCATGCTCCGAAGACGGGGCAAGGAGGGGTGGCCCAGACGGTGGTGCCACAGGAGGGTCTCGTAAGAGAGGAGGCGACACGAACAGGGGGCAGACTCAGGGCCAGACCGGGACGCAGCAGCAAACACCTGACCTGACGCAGCTACCTGACCAGACGCAGGGACCGGAGGAGACGTAGTGGTCAGGGTGTAGAGGCTCGACCCCGGCCGACGCGAGAACGTGGCCAGGTGCCGGCCTGTGCGTGCGTCCGTGCAGTGGGTCACCCGCTGACTCGCAGGAGTGAACTGGTGAACCCCCGCATCCTGTAGGTCCGCACCACTCACCAAGTTCGTCGAGAACGAGGGAAGGTACAGACCAGACAGGGTGCCCGAGGGGGCAGCCGGGACACGGGAGGACAGCGGAAAAGTGAGGAGAGGACAGGACCCCCAGAGGGGTCAGCCAGGGAGACTGCAACCGGCGACTAAGCGGCGTGAGGGTGGTGCGGTCTCGAAGAAGGAGCGAGAAGCCCGGAGTCAAGTGTGGAAAGTGAGGGAGGACGAAGGCGACGCAGTACCTGAGAGCGCAGTCTCACCAGTACCTGAGGGCGCAGACGCACTGGCACCTAGAGCAACAGCCTCACAAGCACCTAGCGCAAGCAGTACCAATGCCCGGGTCGGGCGGGGAAACACCGGGTAACAGTCACCCTCCTCACTAATAGTCACAGCATACATAGCAGCAAGGATAGCATCAAAGTCAAGATCAAAGATCGCTACACCAGCCCTAAGAAGCTCATCCCAGCGGGGGATCTCACTAGCCTCGGGGAACTGCTGACGCCAAGCGTCCGTCAGGCGGCCAAAGCAGCGCTGGGTGGGGTGGGCACCCCCACACTGCTCACCCGCGCGGTCGCCGGAACGAAGGACGTAGGCACACGGACCAGCACCCCCCACCCCTCTGACGCCGAGCGTACCACTCACGGAGCTGCTGGGGCGGAGGGATGTCCCGCGGACGCTGCTGCTGCTGCTGCTCGCGGGGCGCTGACCACACCACCGCCGCTCCGCTGCTGGGTACCACCCCGACCAGCTCCACCCCCTCCGCCACCACCGCCTCCTCCTCCGCCCCCTCCACCGCCTCCACCGCCACCGCTGCCGCCACCACCACCGCTGCCGCCACCTCCGCCGCCTCCGCCGCCGCTGCCACCACTACCACCACCACCCCCTCCACCACTCCCGCCGCCACCCCCGCTCCCTCCGCCGCCTCCACCGCCACCTCCACCGCCCCCTCCAGCTCCACCCGCGCCCTTGCCCCCCTTGCCCTTGCCAGAGCGGCGTCGCCCACTAGGGGCAGACGCCGCGCCCGACCGACTCAAGACCAAGCAGGTCCTGGCAGCAGCAGCAGAGGCAACAGAGGGCAGTAGGGGGGAAGGAGAGCACCCCTCAAAGATGGGGGTGCGAGGGTCACCCCGAGAAGCTCCTACAGCGACGATGCTCTTCTCCGCCACGAGGAGGGCCTTCTCGAGGAGGTCGACAGTGAGGGTTGGTGGGACAGACTGCGAGAAAGTGGTCCCTGACTACGCGAAGAGAGTCAGGGAGGCGCGCGACTACGTAGTAGAGAGTGACGTACATGGGGGGGGGTTCTTGGCGCAGAACTCAGCAGGAAGGCGGCGCGGGTTGCGGTAGCGAGTGTCACTAGTGCGGAGGTGCGTAATGAGGTCAGCGACAGTGGGAAAGGCAGAGAGGTCAGGAAAGAGGTAAGGAAGAATGAGACGGCTCAGTGCAGCAGTGGCAGGGGAAGAGTAGCGCGCAACTACAGCGTCGTACAAGGTCTGAGCACTCTTGTACTGACCTAAAGTGCGCGCGCTCAGAGGTAGGGAGGTGGCGACGCACAGCAAGACGTGCAGCAGCATCGCGGGTAGCCCACTGAGAGCGCACAGTGGGATCAGCATCAGCAGCAGGGGCAGGAGAGGCGCCAGAAGTGAGGTCAAAGAGAGAGAAAGGCCGTCTGCTCTATCGCACTGCAAGAACAGCCTGCAAGTCGTCGACCCAGACCTCAAAGTCAATGGCGCGACCCTCAGCGTCAAAGCGAGGACACTAGGGGTAGCCATGACAGCAGTAGACGGTCTCACCAGAGAGGACGGGTCGGGCCAGCGCTACCAGTAGCCACAGCAGCCCACAGCAACACAGACAGCTCAACCGGCTCAGCAGCAACAGCAGCCTCGCAGGCCCAGCGGCTCGGCTCCTCAGGCGGTTTGCAGGCGGCTCGGGCGGCTCGGGCGGCTCGGGCAGTCAGCGGCACAGGCGGCTCGGGCGGCTCGGCTCGTCAGCTGCGGAGACGGCTCCGGGCGGCTCAGGTCGCACCGGCGGCTAGCGGGCGGCGTGGGGGGCCGGGACAGCGTCGCTGCAGCAGGGACGGGGATGACGGAGCGCGGCCGGGCCGGGCGTGGCACAGGGGCGGCTCGGGACCGGGTCGGGCGGCGCAGCGGGCGGTGAGGGGCCGCGACGGGCAGCGCGTGGGTGGCTAGGGGCCGGGACGGGCGCTCGAGGGCGGCGAAGGGCCGGGACGGGCTCGCGTGGGCGGCTAGGGGCCGGGACGGCTGCGAGCGTGGGTGGCTAGGGGCCGGGACGGGCGCTCGAGGGCGGCTAAGGGCCGGGAGGGCTCGCTGTGGGCGGCTAGGGGCCGGGACGGCGGGCGCGCAGGTGGCGAGGGGCCGTGACGAGCGGGGCTCGGGCGGCTGCTGGGCCTGAACGGGCGGCGCTGCGGTGCGCGTCTAGGAGCCCTGACGGGCGGCGCCGCGGGCGGCTAGGGGCCTGAACGGGCGGCGCGCGGGCGGCTGGGGCCTGAACGGGCGGCGCCTCTGTGCGCGTCTAGGAGCCCTGAACAGGCGGGCGCGCGGGCGGCAGGGGCCTGAACGGGCGGCGCGCTGGCGGCAGAGGCCTGACAACGGGCGGCGCGCTGGCGGCTAGGGGCCTAAACGGGCGGGCGCGCTGGCGGCTAGGGCGGGACAGGCGTAGCGCGCGGGCGGCCTAGGTTTTTGGTGTTGTCCTGAACGGGCGGGCGCGGGCGGTAGGTGCCGAGACGAGCGGTGCGCGGGCGGCAAAGGGCGGCTCGCTGCGGGCGTCTAGGGGGCCGCAGGGCAGGCCAAAAAGGAGAGAGCAAGGGCCCGGAGCGCGCTCCGGGCAGAAAAAAGTTTTGAAGGTGGTGGGCCCTAAGCACAGTTCCCGCGGGGGAACCTGCTCTGATACCATGTTGAGAATAGGAACGAGAATGAAGTGAGTACAAATAGGAAACCCTAACTGGGTTGTACCCCCTATGGGATACCCCACTACAGCCTACACAATAGGATAAGCTATATATATGTTTCTGACAATAGGCTCGACACAAGGCCCCGTAACAGGTGTTACGCGAAGGTTCCGCGGGTCGCGAAGCGTCCCGAACAGATCCTTCCCGAATTCGGTTAGAAGGCGATTCGGTGGCAACCGAAAAAAAGCCAGAATCACGCAACCTAGCTCGGTGCTATAACTATAATATAATATAGGAAAGCACCTAGCCTAGGAAATCAAGCAATTCATACATGCATATAATTATCCTATGCTAGAAATAGCATGATAAAGTAAAGGCAAGCAAGCATAGGCTGGCATAAGTTGTCGTACTCTCACACTGGAGATCTTACGGAGCGTCGTGAGCCTGCGTCTCGGCCTGCGTCGCCTGTCCGTGTCTGCTCGCACGATGTGGTCGTGGTTCGCAGTTCAGCGTCCTCCGCTTGTCCCCGTCAGCGTCCACAAGCACCTACCTCGACGAGGTTCCCCCACCTGGGGCAAACATCGTCAGTGGCATGTGGATTTTCAAGGTGAAGCTGGCGCCAGGTTCTACGCCCTGTCTTCAAGGCGCGTTACGTGGCTCGTGGCTTCAGTCAGCGGCAGGGAGTTGACTACTTTCAGACCTTCTCCCCCACCCGAAGATGACCACTCTTCGGGTGCTGCTGCACATAGCCGCTCAGCGCGACTACGAGCTTCACTCTCTTGACTTTCAGCACAGCTTCTTGCAGGGCAGCCTGTACGAGGAGATCTGGCTGCGCCACCCACCTGGCTTCACGGGTCGTTTCCTCCTGGTACCCAGTGGAGCTCCGGCGGCCAGTCTAAGTCTCCGCCAGGCGCCCCGTGGGTGGCACGACACACTGAGGACTACACTTGCGGCTCTTGGGTTTGCTCCTTCTACACCTGACCCGTCGCTGTTTTCTTGCGCACCGACACCTCTTTGCCGCCGTTCTACATCCTCATGTACGTCGACGACTCGGTCTTTGCCACTGCTGACACCGCTTGGACTCGCCCACGTGAAGTCCGAGCTGCAGAAGAGACACACGTGCACACACCGGGTGAACTGCGCGCTTACCTTGGCTTGCAGATCACCCGGGACAGAGCACAGCGCACCATTACCCTGACTCAGTCACACATGGTGCAGCAGGTCCTTCAGCACTTCGACTTCACATACTCCTCGGCACTGGCCACTCCTCTGGTTACAGGTCACTCGCCTCTCAGCTCTGCCTTCGGATGAGTCCGTAGAGCCGAGTGGGCCCGTACCAGAGCTTGTTGGCTGCCTCATGTACCTGATGACCTGCACACGACCTGACCTTGCATACCCTCTTCGCATCTTGGCAGGCTATGTTGCTCTTGGGAGACACGACCAGAGCAACATGGCTGCAGCGAAGAGGGTGTGCGCTACTTGTGCAGTACGTCGGGCATGGGCTAGTGCTTGGAGGGCGACGATTCAGTGGTCCTCACAGGTCACGCAGACGCTTCTTGGGCTGAGGGACCAGGCTACGCAGTGGTCGTCACAGGGTTACACCTTCAGCCTTGGTTCCGGCTCTGTTTCGTGGCGGTCTACCCGCTCGTCTTCTGTCTTCTCGGCTCCAGCTGTGAGGCTGAGATCTACGCGGGGGCCATGGGTTGCACAGGGGCTACGCTGGCTTACCTACTTGCTGACTGACCTAGGAGAGCCACCTCGTTCTCCCTCCGGTTCTGTACATAGACAACAAGGCCATGCTGGCCTTGTGTCGGGAGCACAGACTGGAGCACAGAACGAAGCACATTGCTCTTCGCTACTTCTTGCTCGTGAGGTGCAGCAGCGTGGTCAGCTGCGCCTTGCTTCTCGGGCTCTCAGGCAACACTGCTGATATCTTTACCAAGGCACTTCTGCCTTGTGATCATCAGCGCTGTTGTACGATGCTAGGTCTTGTGCCTACTTGGCCTCACTTGCTTACTTCTTGACCTTGCTTATACTGTGATCTTTCTATACCTGCACTTGCTTGTTTACCTTTATATCTGATCTTGCATGTGACCTGGCCTTGTGGCCTTTAACTTGTGCTCGGAATTTGTGGTGACGTTGTGATCCACCCTGAGCTTGCTTTGCTTTGCTTGACTGGTCTTGTGACCCCTTGTTCTCCCCCACTTTGCCTATGGGGGTGTGTCAGACTTGTATGACTTGCCTGTGTGGGGCTATAGTGGGGTAGCAAATATGTGGTACAACACATTCTAGGTTGTACTTGTACCCAACCTTTCCCTTAGTTCAATCATTCCTCATTTCTTCACAAGTACAGCCCAAATTTGGGTTTACTATATGTATCATATCTACTGCTAGTGCAACCCCTCTTTCTGTCTCTAACTTTCAGCTAGCGTTTCTCGACATGCTATCAGAACGAGAACGCTCCTGGCATGTGGGCACACCTACTTCCGCTGCTGTCCTGCCTGTCGCGCACCGGGGCGCGCGACGTTTCTGCTTGCCGCGCGCCGGCACGCACGGCGTTTTTTCTTCTCGCCGCGCGCCCCGGGCGCGCGGTGGTTTTGTGCCCGCCACGCGCCCTGAGCGCGCAGTGGTTTCCTGCCCGCCGCGCACCCCGGGCACGCGCGGCGGTTTCGTCGCCCTGTCGCGGCACCGCAGGGGCCCGCACGCCATTCCCCTCCCGTCGGCCGTCGCAGCGCCCCGGGGGCCCGCGCGCTGTCCCCTCTTGTCGCCCGTCGCGGCGTCAGGGGGGCCCGCACGCCGCACCCTCCCGTCGCCCATCGCGGCGCCCCGAGGGCTCGCGCGCCGCCCTGCTTGTCGCCCGTCGCGGCGCCCTGGGGGCCCGCACGCCGCCCCCTCCCGTCACCGGCGTGGCACCTAGGGGCACGCGTGCCGCCCTATTCGTCGCCCGTCGCAGCGCCCCAGGGACTCGCGTGCCGCCCCGCTTCCGCTAGCACGCCGCCCCAGCTGCTGCATGCGTATCTGCCCCGCGCGGCACGCGCGCCGCGTGCGTTGGGGGCACGGGGGGGGTGGCGGGTATGGGGGTGGCGGGTATGGGGGTGGCGGGTGTGTGAGCCGTCCCCTGCTCCTCCTCCTCCTCCATCTCCCACTTCTCGACATTATTTGTCCTGGCTGTCGTGCTTCGTTTGTCGAGTCAAAGGTCACTGACCTTTGACCTTCGCCTCAACTTCTTGCTGCTGTCCCTTTGTCAACCGCTTCGCTGTAGCTCGGTTGACTCGGTGTTACTTTGCTGTGAGCCTGCTTTGTTCATGTTATAGTGCTCGACACATTAGAAGCGCGAACTATATGTTTCCATCATTCCCCTTCGCTTCTGCAATGTCGTCGCCTTCGTTGCTGGTGACGTGGCCTTGTCCAGTCAACAGCGTGCAATACTCGAACTTCTGCTTTCTGAGTTTCTTGATCAAGTAATCTACTGCCATCTCGGATGTGGGGCAGTAGGTGTTAGAGGTTAAGGACGGAGTCTAGAGGTGCGGAGCCTGGGGGTGCCGAGCCTGGGGGCGCTGGGTCTGCTCGTGTGGCCGCCGGCGGTGCTTCGTCGAGGCGGGAGCCACTCTCTCCACAGGAGCTGCGCGAGTGGTTTGCCCGCCGCTCGAGACGCGCTGCTGAGAC